TTTCATTCACACTGTATCAATACTTACATCCAGCATTTGAGGAAGTGTTGTAGAATAGAACACTCCATTCATGTTGTTGACACAATTAAGCTGAAGTACATAGGCATTGTGGGTATTATGGCACAATGTCTGAACATGTTCTTGCTACAAATTGACAAAAAGTGTCAGAAACTTTCTAAGTTTAAGGATAACAAAAATAAACTACTCTCTAAATGAAAAAAGGACAGGGGGTAAAAGCCATTATGAGTGGGTCTACTGTTAGCAGACTGATCTCCAAATTAAGATGACTAGGTTACCCAGCCATTTCTCTGAAAATCACCACTGCTGTTTGTTGCCTTTTTCTTTTACTCATCTCTTTTGACTGAAAGCCAGGTAGAAGCTCAAAATTTCAAGCCTTGGACTCATTTTAGAAAATTCTACCACATTTTAATTTAGTCAGTCGATCTCTCTTGGAACAAAGGTCACCAGTCACAATTAAGTGAGTCAATTGAATCATGCCTCCCAGTTAGCTCAATGGATAGAGCGCTGGACTGTTGTGAGGGAGGTCGAGAGTTCGAGCCCCAGCCGGACCAACACTCATGGTCTTAAAATAATTGAGAAGAATACGCTTCCTTTCTATAACATCAAGAAATGGTTAGATATTCTAGTCTTCTCAGATAGGGACGAATAAATGGAGGTCCTGTATCCTGCAGGAGGGGTAGGAGACGTTAATTTCCCACGCACGAGATTACTGTGTGATGGATGTCCTTTCCCGGGGTGGGAGGGGTGGGTTGGGTTTAGGTGGATGAACCTAGTAGGGAACTATGTGTCCTTTTGTTCTTCCACCTGTACAATGTACAAATCTTTAGAAACAGAAACATGTACTGCTGTGAGTCCTGAGTTTTACTAATAGTTCAATCTAAGACATAGTGATACAGAGTTCTTGTGAAATTAAGGATCTTTCCATGTGTCAGTTTTACCAAACTGTTCTTCAATAATGTTTACAATTTTATTGTATTTGGGGCAAGATTTTACCCTCAATGGGGCCTGTTTCCCCACAGTGCACATTCATTTAGCTTTCAGGTAGACTTGGTAAATTTCTGTGGGGAAGTTGCCAAGGAGTGGGAATGGAATCTAATCCCAAAGGAGAAGCCTTACTCCTTGTCAATTCATGCTACCAAGAAAGAAAGTCAGACTTTCTCTAACCCTTTACTCCTTCTCATCAGTCTCCATATTCTTCATACTGTTCTCTATATTGAATTCCTAAGGCCCGCAGATAAGGAGACTTTGTTTCACAATCAAGAGCTTCAACCTCTAGTTGATAATCATTTCCTTTATTCTCATGCGTGATTCAGGGGTAATATTGAAGGGGAAACTAGATTTGCAGTCACTTTTGGGAGTCAAAAGGGTAGCTAACAGTAATTGGACACTATATGCATGCAATACCAAGCAAAAAGAAAGTTTGATGCAACACTCTAGCTAAAAGGTAAAGCTTAGTAATACCTTGGCAGCTTCTGCACCTGCACTTTGCAATTTTGCAAGTTTGGCACAAGCTTCTGAATATTCTTTGTGGCGCTGAGTAGAGAAAAAAGTTGAGGATTTTATTGTGGTCTACTTAAGCAAGAGATTTGTGGATTTTTATTGAATCTTCCATTGTAGTAGATCACAGTGACATCAACAAGAAGAACATCAATACCCTACCAACCTCAGTGTTTCAAAAGTGAACTTAACACATTTTGATGTCATTTGAGGTCTACTACATGAGTCAGCTTTAAATTCAACTAACCTTGTAGATGGCAAAATGAAACTCATTCTCTTAATAGAAAACTGTAAAAACTTGCAAATCTACTTTTTACTTCCTAGTTAATGATACAGGAAGGTCTAACTACATTACAGAATTTGCAAAATATCGAATGAATATGGAGGTAATTCACATTTGCTCACACAAAATTAGATGAGAGGTACGTAGATATAAGTGCACACTTTTTAAAATTTATTTTCATTTTTATCACCTTTTGTAATGCTTCATCTGCCTTTTCAATCTGACTTTCACCACTGTCTCTGAAGGAAAATATCTTTAAAATAATAAGGATAACATTATTAACCACCATTAATTATAAATAAAGTATTCCTTAATTAATTAAAACTTTTCATTTGAAAAGCTTCCTTGGGAGGGTGGTGAGACTGCTCTCTCCATGAGCACTGATATCTGATATCTGATATCTGATATCTGATATCTGATCCTGCTGACCCATGCAGTAAAGTAACATAGTCATCACACCTTTTTTGTGGCTGCTTTCTTCTTGATCACCTCCTCAAAAGCTGGAGTATTCACCTGTCGCACTAGACTGGATGAAACCTTTAACATATCCTAAGAAATGGAAGACATGTCTGGTAATTTGCAAGTCTCTTTAGGTTACGACCACAGCTATCTGGTAATTTTCACCTTTGATTTATACATGTGTGCACCACAAAGTTTTGACCATACAACTCAGCTGTTTCCTGCTGTAACTATTACAGGAAAGTCATTTGGAGAATTTTCCAGAGGACACTTAATTACTTTTACAAATTAATACATCAAATAGTGAATTAAGAACTGCAAAAATGTATGTATCAAAAAAACTATCAATATGACTGGTATTCATTTTAATCAATTTGTAGGTTACTAACAGTAGACTTCCTAGTGTCAGCTGGTTCATGTATATATCTTTTCTACAAAATTCATGACTTATTTCATAAAAGAATAATAACAATACCTGTGCTTGTTTTTCATATTCCCCAAGCAGTGTTTCCCAGCAGCTAAAAGCACTACTTAAAGCAGATCTGAGAGAAATTATAATTTGAAAAAAGATATCAGCAACTGCATGCAAGGTCACATGTAAAATTATGTTCTGAGTATCAAAGTGGATTACAATATAATAAGCATGAACAATAGATTATCTTACTTAGAGTGTAAACTGAATAAAAGAACTTACCGTTTGCTCAAACTTCAAACCATGCAGTCTGGAAATACAGTCATCTATTCATACAAGCATGGAGCTCCAGGTTGCATGCGCGCAGACACTTTTTGCATCTATGCTAAAACTAACTGCATGCATGCAGAGACTAACTGCATGCATGCAGTGACTAACTGCATGCATGCAAAAAGTACTGCATGCATGCATGTACACTTAGCTGCAGGTCTGCATCATGCAAGCACTGTTTAGAGGGGAGTCTCTCTAATCTATGATATGGTTACTCACCACTGTCACCTTGAAATGTTGTCAGTTTTATTTTGAAAGTTCTGGTAAACTTTAGGCTTCTTCTGATACTTTTGCTAATACAGTCCTTAACTTATGAAAATCAACGATAAACAACAGAAAGAAACATTTGACTGATACTTATATCTTGTCATATATCTTGCTTGAGCAAGATATATGACAATGTCATGACAATGATTCTTATTAAATACAGACCTGTCTTTCTTCATTTCTAAGTTCTTCTTTCTGAATGATTCCACCAATGAAAGGAGTTGGTTTCCCAATTGTTCTTTAAGAGAAGCCACCTTGTGGGAAAATTCACCAACTGAGAAAAGAAAGTTGAAAAATTAACAATATTTAACAATCCTTCATATTGACTCATGAAATAAAAGTGGAAATGTGACAAATTCACTTCTTTTGTGTGGTGCAATATGCTATGTAAAGGAAATATGCAAATCAAGAACTTAGATGAAAATCCACAAAAAATATCAACACTCTACTGGAAACTTCCAGATTACTACACCTTTCACTATGTAGTACTAGCTACCCTAAAAAACTCTTTCAGCTGTATCTCGCATTCTTTTTGAGATTTTTTATTATTTTCATCAATAAATTAAACTTAGATTATTTAATTCTCTATAACTAACGAACAGAAAAAAAAGAAATTTTGAAAATTTTGACGAGATTTTGTTGGCAGTAACAGAGTGTTATTATGACTAACCCTAAACTGTGCCCACAATTTAATTTCACTGCATTAAATCTTTTGGTTATAAATCAAACTGGCAAGATTTCCGTATAACGCCAGAATTAATCATGCATACAGTCTAGATAAAAAGTACAATCATTATGGCAAAACAAAAGATTACCTTTGTTTTGGAATAGTATTGGGCGTCTTTACGTAAATGGTTACGTTTAGGATTTAATACATTATTTGAAATTATGTAATTAATAACAGAGTTCTCCTGGGAAGGCAACCACCGTGGTATTGAACACTTCAAACAATGTCTGATATAGGTTGAGGTATTCAAAAAGTATATCAACCTGAAAACTGTAGGATATTAAAAACCTTTCAGGTCTCCACAGAGCAAGAGTACCATTTAACCAGCAACTCACCGGTGAATCAATTAAAATGTGGTTAATTTTGGCATAGAATTGAGGAAATACATGAATAATGAATGCAAAATTACTATATTTAAAATGTCTTATACAATAACAAAATAACGCGATCGATATTTACATGTATAAATTTGATAGGAATTTTTGCATGAATTTTCTATAATAATTTATGAAAATCAATACCAGAGTTTCATCGTTGTGACTCAATTCATTCCCTGAACAAACTTGATAACGTGACATTTAGGATTTAATTAGTGTAAGGATATGCTCAAAATGTCATAACGAAACGCACATATAAGGAAAACAAGTCAGGCAAATATTGGGTGTAGAGTATCCACATGAAGGCTCATGTCTTTGCGTTTACCTGTTTTGAGGAGTTTGATGGCGCTGTAAGTATTGGATTTAAGAACGTCATTTAAATTCGGATGAGGTAAATCTCTCAAGTACGCTTCTCGAGCCGAAGACATGCTTTATCCTAAAATAAGGGAAGCGCACGATTTGCAACCAACACTCTGTATCACCTCCTATTAACATTTGTTGACTGGCTTCCGATTGATTGAGTATTCCATCTCATTTCCGCTCAGTTCTAATCTATATTTGGAGATCTTGACCAAATTTGGGTAAAGGCACGATCGATAATAGTCACGGGAGAAACACGCAAACAGCGATGACTACGCCGGTAAACAGATCCGGCAAACATCGATAGTGACAGTAATCTTATTTCCGCGTACTGTGAATAAATGTGAAGGAATTTCGCCGGAACACCCCTTCAGATCCTGGTCACGTCGACAGGAAGTACAACTAAAGGCATCTGAACTCCAAGACAAGGACGCGTGACAAATGAAACACTCTCCAGAAAGCTGCAAGTAACTAAGGACTCTTTGACATTGACATTAAGATCTGATCTGATGTTGGTTGCACTCTACAGTGACACACTACAAATGAGAATCGGACATCGAGAACATTGAAGATGGCTGATCTCTCAAGCATTCAAATGGACTTAAACGAGAGAGGGTTTGAGAAAGATTTGGAAAGTCCTTTCCTTCTGGACTCGAAGGTTGTAAAATTGTACGACTACCACGATGTCCCGTACTTCCTAAGAGGAAATCCTTACGTTACGTCTGGTTACCGGGCCTTCTTATCGTTCAGAATGTGCGTCAAAAGGTAAGTAATCTGATTCAACTGCTTTCCTAGTGATTTTTCGTTAAAGTACCTGACTCTTCTATTAAGTTGCGTTAGTGTTTGAAACTCCGGTACTTAAAACTGAAAAGCTGTTGAATGAAAGAAACGGCAGTTGAGGTGTTCCTCTTTGGACTTAGGAGGAATAGAGGGGTTTGAATCACAAATTGAGCCATTAATATATTACTAGAGAGAATAAAGGCATATTTAACATCACTGGTCTTTTCTTCTCAACTTTAAACTTACTTTCCTTTTCCTTTTGGCCATCTGGTTTCTTTTCTGAAGGGGGGTAAGGGCGATGGACTTTTTTCCCTTAGGTGTGGCTGCTTTTGTTGCTGGTGGGGGTTATTTTTTGACAGCATACATACTAGAACAAGTGTTCAATCAGAGGTGACCAGAATATTCATAAAAAAAAAAAAAGATTAACCTTGTTTCTTACTTTTCTTTCCCCCAATCATTAAACCTTAGGACTCACAAAAGTTTTAATTTCTTCTATTAATGAGAAAAACAAAACAAAGACGCGTCATTTAAGAATTGATTCCAGTCTGAGCTGCTCAAATGCAACAACCTCGAGCAGCCTAAAATGATTATTAATGTGTGACAATATATTATTATCCTTTTTTTCTGGGAGAGGGGGGGCCTCCATCATGGTTGGCGTTTGTTCTCCCTTTCTTGTGGCTCAATGTAAGCATGCTTGACGCTGGATTTCAAGGTCCAGGGAACAACCCTGGTGAGTGCCATTGTGTTGTGTTAATGGTGTCTTACTCTAGGGGGAGTATAAAATGATCAGGGATCACCTGCATTGGCTAGACTAGTTTCCTACAAATGAGCAGCCTGAAGATGCAGTTATTAAAACTATACTCCTTGTAATTTCATACAATCTCAAAGTGGGACTAGGTCAGTAACAGCTCTTCAGGGCTGGACACTAACTTTTCAACTTACTAGCCAAGTGGCCAGTGACAACCTAGATGTTAAAACAATTTCAGTTTGTTTACTAGCCAAACTGGCTAGTGGAAATTGAAAACCACTAGCCAAATCTGAATTTCTACTAGTCTGTGGCTAGTTGGTTACCGTTAGTGTTGAGCCCTGGCTCTACTTACTTTCACCCTTTCACCCAAAAGATTGATAGGCATCTAAATTCTCACAATAGTGTCACCCCTGAATCAAACCTCAGGGTTATGAGAATAAAGGAAATGATTGCAAACTCAAGAAACTCTTGATTGTCAGACAAATTCTCCTTGCAAGCACCATAGAGAATGGATTAGTAATGATAATATAAAATATTAATCTTAATATTTTATATTATCAGTATTGTATTTCTAATCTTTTAGGTAATTTTAATTACATAGGGTAGGGTAGTACATATATATATAGGGTCAACTATACAGGGCAGGATTGCATATTTTATGCATTTTATGTATATTAGATTAGTTTAGTTTAGTTGTCCTTATTTAGTGGGAAACTGCTATTGATTTGACACATTAATAAAGTTTATTATTATTATTATTATTATTATTATTATTATAGAGAAAATTATAGAGAACTTGCATATTGATGTTATGGTGAAAGAGGGTTTAAATTCTGTAGTCATAAAATAACACTGACCTTTGAAATTTCTCTTCATTTTCTAGTCTCTTTGTAATGTCGAATGAGTCCATCAACATCTGGTCCCACTTACTTGGATTCTTGTATTTCTTTTACCTTCTCCTTGTTGATAACTTGGCCAGGATTCCAGAACACGATGGAACTTTTTCTGATCATGTGGTGTTCACTTGTTTACTTATTGGCTACATGGTAAGGAAGACATCTTGAAAGTGGATGAATTGAAAATTTCAAACAGTGTTACATCATTCTAGAGTCTTTTATCCAACTAAATAATACAGAAAATAATGGGTTTGTCTTGTTTCAAGTCAAGACGGTCCAATTTAAATTGTGTTGAGTATGGTGGTGTTGCCATATCAACTAATGTCCACACTCACTTAGCCCACAGAATCTTGAGGGCTGTTTGAACTTTTACAGAGCTGAGGCTTGCAACATTTGCATACCAAATGCTCATACATCCTTACTCCTGAACAGTGGCATGTTTTGTTCTTTTTCAGATTTGCATGTTCTTTTCTGCCATCTATCATTTATTCTGCTGTCACTCTGAGAGAGTTTTTCATCTTTGGTTGTCACTTGACTTGGCTGGCATCTCACTTGGTGTGTGCAGCTGCTATGTGCCTGCCATTTACTATGCATTTTATTGTCATGTGGTAAGGGATAAATTGTGTATCTTAGGATAATTATTTATGGTGGGGGGCCTTAATAAATTTTTCCCCCCTAAAGAGGGGGCTAGCTTGTAAGGGGAGGGGGACTTAATAGAGGATTTACGGCAAATACTTTAGTCAAACGTAAAATTCACCTAATATAATTTTTAGGCCAAAAGGATATCTAATCACATCTAAATATATATATATATATAACTTATTAACCAAGTGCAAGGGCAGTACTGGGAGAATATCGGCCTGACAGTACGGACCGAGGTCCATACAAAAAAGGCAGAAGGCCGATATTCTTCAAGTACGGTCCCGAGCAAGCTTGGTTAATAAGAGATTTATTATACGACTGAAGTTCAAAGGGACACAAGTGTGGTATCATTCGGGACAGTGCCCGGTCCAATACTGAGAGAATATTGACCGGCAATAGAGCATTTTGATTGATTGAGTTTAGTTATTGGCCCTCTGACTACCCGAGTTGTGTAATAATTACTGGTAATTCATACCTTGGTATAACGAAGTGTGAAGAAATTTATAAAACAATTTTTTTTGTATTAGTATTGGATAAGTCTAGACATTAGATGTGCTTCCTAAAATTCAATCAATACTCTTTACTTTGTATTTATTTTCTAGACTTGGCAAAGCATTTACCTGGGTGGTGCGATTCTTCTGACTTTAGTTTCATTAGCATTTCAATTTCATCCTTCTTTCTTGACCTCTCATTGGGCAAGTAGACGTCTTTTACTCTTCTGTAGCCTAGTGGCATATGGTGTGGTCCCAGCAATCCACTGGGTACTTCTGCTTGGAGGATGGAATGACTTCTCTGTGAGGGTAGGTGCACATTATTGGCAGTTTAAGGGGGCTAGTTCATGCTTCAGAACCTGCCTGGATGTTTTACCTTGAAGAGGATCGTAAGGGTTATAAATAATCGCAGAGCTGTAAAAAACTTTCACCAGCTATGGGAAACCTGTGCCCTAAATTATCAGGGATGAATCAACCAAAACACTATTAGATACTTTGATGTTTTAGATGCAGTTTGTTTGCAAATTCTCATGCTTAGGAGCTCTCCTTTCGAAATAAAGAAATCCACTCCAAGAATCAGTAAATTAAAATGCAGGTGGGGCAGTGATTTACGGTATTTTCAAGATGAAAGTCTGGATCATACTTTTAACAGTTTCCTCAAAGGATTAGCTATTAATCATTTATCTTAATGAATTAAAAATTATTAACTTTAAGTTACTTTTATTAGCTGATGTACATGATGCATAATGTCTTAAAATTTAATTTAATGATACATTTTAATTATTCTTTCAGCTCTTTGTTCCTAAAGTGGTTGTTATGTATTTGCTGGGAATTCTTGCTCTAGGATTTTATGCACTTAAAATACCAGAAAGATATTTCCCAGGTAGAGTAAATAATATGATTGTACATTAAAATTAAATACTTCAAAACCTGTCTTCAAAATGATTAAATTTAAATTGTTATTAGCTATTGCTATGATTCACTGAAGTGAAAGTAAATATGCATCACTTTCTTTAACTTTTGGGGTGAATAATTGTTGTCGGTGTAGATCACACAAGTTGGTCAAGTAATTACTGTCAAAAAAAATAGTTTTAAATCTTTCCACTCCAACATTAAAGTGGGTCTGTTCCACAGTTTTCTACACATTTCTTAAGACTAGTTGCTGACAAGGAGAATTTGTGTAGCAATCATAAACCATGTGAGCTATCTTTTAGTTGCTCATCATTTCCTTTAATATCATGACCTTAACATGTGATTTGGGGATGATATTGTTGGGAGAAATTAGATGCTGGTCAGTATAGAGGGTCCAAGGGTTAATATTTAATCTTGCCATACAGTGCTCGCTTGCAGTAAGTTACCGTATTTATCTGTGTATGGGTCAACCCCATGTATATTAGGCAACCTCCCATTTTCAAGGTTAAAAATCAGATTTTTCATAATTTCTAGTAAAGAAAAATTTAGACCGATAGAAATTTCCCAAATGGCTGATCTCTTGTTTCTGAGAATGTATTGAAAACACTTTGAATTAAAAAAAAAAAAAACTGCAGAGCAAAATGTGACCGTGTGCTGTGAAGTTTAGTAGCACTTGTTTAGATCACCATGATTCATACAGTGCTCACTTGCAGTAAGTTAACTCATCTTTCTCCTAGTATAACCTCCCCATAAAGTGTTTCATTTCTTTATGCCTTTCCTTTGGTGAGAGTGGCTCTGTCAGTTGGGCATAACACTTGAAAAAGAAATAATCAAATGAGAGAGCCCAAGTTTAGGAATAGCCCGAATGTACATGTCCATTTTCTGCCCGTTTTCCTAACCAGAATGTTCCTGATACAATTAAAAAGTTAGTAAATCAGGGTAATCAATTTTTAATGCCTTAATTCAAAATAAAGTCTTGATCATCTGCTTTTTCAAAACAAATGGGTCAGTTAGTCAATGGGAAACAGAACATTCAAGGGGAAAGGCCTAAGCATGCTAAGTAGTAATCATGAGAACCCATGACTCTTTTCTTTTCCTTTTGCAGGTAAACTGAACTATGTTGGATCCAGCCATCAATGGTGGCACCTTTTTATTGTATTAGCTTTTTACTGGTGGCACAGATCAAATCTCATTTATATGAAGTACAGATTGGAATATCAGTGTTTAACTAACACTGAACTTTCAACTTCTGACTCACCCTTTGAACTCAACATTCTCAAGTAGATAACTGAAAATAAGATATTTTAAATTCATGAATAATTAAAATTAAACTTGGTTTATTTTCAAAACCATTGTTACAATTTTTTTTTGTGTCAGAGACTTTTTCATTCAGTTCCATATATCATCTTTAACAGATGAAATTGAACGTAGACTGGCCAGCCTCTGTCCCCCACTCAGTTGCTTTACCAGTCGTTTTGATAGAGGAGCAGGCATGTAATCATCAAAGGGTGGATTAACATTTTCTTTCCCACACTTATCTCCTTGAACTTCTTCATATCCACCAGTCGAGTAAACATCAGAGAAACCATCAGAGCTCGCAGCTGTTTTGAATTTCTGATTCAAACTATGAGGTGTACTGATGAAACCATTATTTTCTGGCTTGAGTACTTTCCCTGTGTGTTCTGGTAGTTCTTTCTTGTTCCTCTTTGTGTTGTTGACATACTTCACCTTATCTTTACTTGAAAAAGTCATTGAATGATCACTCAACAACTCTTGCAAAATACCAGGCACACACTCATTAGTCCCAAAACCATCTTCCTCATGAAAATTGAGCTGATCTGTTTGGACTGAAAAATCTGAATTTGTACACTGGACTGACTTCTGTGGGCTTTTTGTCTCTGAGGACTCAGTGACAGAACCAGGCATTTCATTTCTTGATTTGAACTTGCTTATTCCAGCTCTTCCTTTCAGTGTTTTTGCCTTAGATTTTGAAAGCAACTGCTTCAAAGAACGTGATTTGATATCATCATTCTCCTCATCACTGGACCCAAAAATTTCAATTACATCAGTCTTACTTAAAACAGTCACTCCACTTAATGTCCTCACAATGTTTGCTGACCTACATGTATTAAATTTCTTTCCATGATCATTTCTATTTCTGGATTTAAAATCACTTAAAGTTTCAATTGCACTTTCTTGCTGTACTGTGTTTGCTTCACGTCTCTTCCCCAGATACTCGTGTGTTTTAACATCGGAATTCTTCTCGTCTGTTGTGTTATCATTCTTAATGGAAACATCAACACGATGATGATATGGGGACGTTGTTTGAACATCTTTTAACATAGAAGGATTTGATATCCCATAACTACCATCAACTCCATGCCCATATCCACAATCCAGATTACTGGTATATGGAGCTAATTCCCTCTGTACTGAATTGGAATGCCAAGGAAAATTTACATTGCACTCTTCAATGCTATCGTCATCATCCACATCATTGTCGTCATCATCCACATCATTGTCGTCATCATCATCATGGCATTCATCAGCATCACTATCAGAGCAACCACTATTGACAGACGCAGAGTTGATCATTGGTGGATGATGCAGCGACTAACCATCGATTGTTGGGAGTACAGAGTCAATAACATCTTGCAGAGATTCATTAACTGAGACATCAGAATATAAACCTCTAGAATGACTTTCATTTTGTGGCATAGAACTTTGCACCCTTAAATCTTCAAGCTGCCTTGATAGGAACTCCATTTCATTGTCATGATTGTCTGAAGAGGAAACAGATGTAGTGGCTTTCTTCTCTGCAAAAACAAATGTGCACCAGCACACACATTAGATTCAGTCACAGGTAAAGCTTTGTTAGTTCAACAACTTATCTTAAAAAAAATATGTTATCCATTATCATGATTTCTCTTTGACAGAAATCCTACTTAATTATGAGGAATATTCCATCAACTTACTCGTTTTTTTGGACAGTTTTTCTGCCTCACTCTCTTGAAATTCTTCGACAACTTTGGGATATGCTTGGGTGAAAAGCTGAAAAAAATCAAGGTGAATATTATTTGGCATCTTAAATCAAGCTAAGGGCTACTGTCAATGGATTTTGTACCAATCAATCCATCTATCAATCAATCAATCAATCAATAATCTTTATTTATACACGATAAGTATTTAAACCGACACTTCGCTTGTGGGGTCGTGTCTAAATAATTAAGTAAGATAACTAATGAATTAGAGAATAAATAGGATATACCCAGCTAAAATCATAGCGCTACTTACTACTTACAAGTCTAAAACGATAAAAACTTAAAATTTTAAAAAGCAAGGTGGTACTCTAATATCGTCTAATTATTAACACTAATTATACTTAAAGTCTTCCTCCCTTCTGGTTAATGTTTGAGGGGAGATACAGTCGAAATCAAGGTGTAGCAAAGCCTTAGATCGTCTTGCTATAATCGCATATTTCTTAACATTGTCTATATCGTCATTAAGTTGAGGAACCAACGTGTTCCAAACTATTGCTCCTCTACAAGCTACAGAGTTCCTCACGTAGTAGGTATTAAAACGAGTGACATCAATTTTCAGTTTCTTCCTAAATTGATATCGCTTGATGTTATCATTGTTCTTAATAAGAGCTGACATAGCGTCTGGAGTCAGGTTATTATGGATTTTATGCATAAGCTTAGCTAAGCTAATTTTATACATAAAGGCTAAAGGGGACCAATTAGCCTTTGTCATAACATCAGCATTAGACATCTCCCAAGGTAGCTCAAAGATAATTCTTGCAGCTCTACAATGCAGAGCTTCTAATGCCTTAAAACCTTCCTTATTTCTAAGACCTCCCCATACTGATATTCCATATAATTATGATCGACGGCATAATAACCAAACTCATTATGGCTAGAAATCCTTATAATCACACAATAAAGAAATAATTGGTGATACCTCTTTAGTCTCAATGGTCACAAAAGAAACTGGACATGTTTCTCCAAGTTCAAGGTTTTGCCATTCAACTTCAAAACAGTCAATCTTCTGTTGGACACGAGATTTTACAATCCTAAAATGCAAGATAAAGTACTAGTTTGGTGCAATGATCTCAATTTAATGATAAGCTTGCACACATCAAAACACGTGAGAGGTTTAAAGGAAAAGCATGTTCTGAGAAAATCAATATAGAATAAAGTTCAACCTTCCAGCCACTCCAACATTAGTTTTACCTTTCTGGTTGAACAAGTGTCTTTGTGTGATGCTCCAGTGATAATTTCATTTGCCAATAGGTGATTAATAGAAGAACCTAGAATAAAGCAATTTCTTTGAACTATTTCACTATAAATTAAAATTATTGTTCAAAAACGACCACATTTTGACCATTTCTCGCTCATTTTCAAGTTGAAAAGGTTAAAGTTTTTGCAGAATGTGCTTAAATACACGTCAGGGCTGTGGTCTAGCAGCACCCAGTGGCCCCTGGCGCCTTACTTTCGCTCTTGGGCGACTTGAGAATTTTAGTTTTTTCATATAAAAGCATATGCTAGGCACCCTGTATTTCAAAGTTTCAGAGCAGTGGGCTTTCTTCACATTTTCTTAGAGCACAGCCTTGATATGTACTCAGACAATTGTAAGAATGCTAATGAGATACAAAAAGTCAAAATGTTCACACAGAAACACTACCAAAAAAATTCCAGCATGAAAAATAAAAGAAAACACCAACTGAAGGTGTCTCGCAACAATATTAAAAGTGAAATAATAGCTTCACAGGGATCAAATCACTCTGTTTGTTCAGTTTTGGTTTGAGTTCACAAACAAAAAAAATTAAAAAAATCAAACAGTCAAGTTTGCTCAGACATTAATTTTTTTAAAAATAAGCTATCATTGACAAGCATTCTTCATTTGTATCATCATGGTAATATTCTTCATCATCCTTCCAAGTATGCAAATAAACCTGAAAATTAAAGTACTCTAAGATATGAAATTTAATGCAACCTTTTCTGTGGTATATTCCTCAGGCCATTGCAGGTGCTTGAGGCAGAATTCCTGAAAGAGTAGTAATTCCCTGACTTTAAGCGCACGCAAACTGGAAAATAATATTTGCTCATATGTTATGAACAAATTATATGAAATTAGAAAATAATAACTTCATGAACAGGTTGGGGAAAGGAAATCAACTGAAGATAACCTGGATGGGGATTTGTTTTTCCATAAAAAAGAAAGGCACAAAAAAATAAGGCAAAGAGAAATCAATTTGAAAATACAAAGTACTGAACACAGTAAAACAAAAAAAACACTTTTAGACATAAAGGAGTATTGCTTACTAGATAAAAACCACAGGCTATCTCTTTGAGGTTCTATTCAAAATATGATTCATACAAGGCTACTAAATTGCTAAGCTACACTATACATGTATGACTAAGTTCATTACAATTTACAATCACCTGCATTCCTTTTAGATCTGGATTGAAAATCTTTAAGGAAACCTGCTGGGGAACAACCTTTGGGGACAAAAATTCCTGAATAACCTAGTGACAACAGACCGAAAAAAGAGACAGAAACAGAGACAGTCAACAAGAAACCTACCATCTTATGATCCTATGCGAGGTGTTGATGAGGAGAGCTTCTAAAGTCAGAGATCATTTTCTATATTCTCATGACCTTAATGTGCAATTCAAAGGTGATATTATCAAGAGAAACCAGAAGCTAGTCACTCTGAGGCATAAACGTATTAATTACTGCCAGTTCTTCCTGATTGGGTTACTGATTTAGATAAACTTTTTAACTATTGTACAATACATGTCTCTTTAGTTAGTAGTTTATGTTACCTCTGGATGTGGGAAGTTCTTGTCTTTAAGAGCTTTGCTGTAAAATTAAAGTACTAGTGGTCACAAAATAGCTGTTAGAACAAAAAGGAGCTGTGGCAATTTTAAAGAAAAAATAACTTTTAGGCCATTTTTACATTTTTAAAGTTTTATGGTTGTATCTGGAGAGATTTATTTAGACAGGTCATTACATTTTGTTATGATTTGTTCAGAAACAAATGTTTGCCGATATTAAATAACATCCTCTACACCACCTTGTCCAAAGATAATATGCAAAAGCTTTAAAAAAGAATACAAACTCTTCCTACTTGGCAGGCAGACATCTTGAACAACTTTAACCTATCATAGAGCCCTATTTTACTATTTTAACTATTTAGTATAATTATGTGCTATCTCCTTAAGTGTATTTAACTTTCACCCATCTGTAACTGCTCTGTGGTAGTGGCCAACTCGAAAGCTTGGCTCCTTTGGCACTACACACTCTTTCCACTGCTTTGTGTAAATTCATGTATAGTTAGAACTCTCTTCTTTTTTTTTTTCTACATTTTCTCTTTCTCGTTGTTGTATTTTTAGTAGAATAAGTGTGAATAAAGAATGAAATGAAATGAAATGAAGAAAATAACAACATGAGGCTACATTCAGATGAGTTATTTACAGGGTTTGCCAACTGTTAGGAATTTTGTCACTTAGGGACTGTATCAAAATATTTACCATTTCACAAGCTTCTCCACGCTTGAAAGAATTTCATCTTGGTCCTCACCTTGTCTCCATTCATAGAACCTTAAATAAATCAATCCAGAGTTAACACAAGTAAATGAAAACTCTCTGAATATTCCATTGTTACATTATGGACTTATGCAGCTTTTAGTATAGTTGCTACACAACCAGTAGACACAAAAATGAAAACAGCCTAACAGTTGTATCATCTGCAAACTAGAGTTAAGGATGTCACGACTGCATTAGTGTCACTCTAAAAGAGCACAAATAGCTTTGGATACCAGAGGAGCAGATCATTGCAAGATGGCAGAATGTTAATCTTTTTGCTTTTAGAGCATGATTTTCCATTCAGTTTTAAGCCAAATATCAATTAAAACCCTTTTACTCCCAACATCTGATTGTTAATTCTCCTATCTAGTGAGAATTTGGTGTTTGATCAAGGTAACAACTTACTTAATAAGTTGTCAGTATTCTCATTACCTGTTTGCTGGATAATGAGTGGATGTTAGAGGGAGAAGTTAAATGTTAATCACCACTAAAAGTTAAAGGGTTAAACCTGTAGAATAAGAGCCCTTTTGAGGCAACTCACACTCTTATCAGCTAAAATATCGAGAGAGGACCATAAATAAACCACTACTGGCATTCATTGCAAAGTAAATAAGATCAGATTTTATTTAGCACCTAAAAAATTATTTTAACCTGTGAATTAGGTTTTCATGATCGACACTCTTAATAAGCTTCATGGCAATTTCCTTTCCAACTCCTGATACACCTTGTGGTAGGTAATCACATCCCAGAAGTATTCCAAGTGCAACCAGCTTCTGTCTGTTGAGATCTGAAACATAGCATAAAAGAGCTGCACATACAGATGTTTATTTTCCCATCTGTTGGAGATTGGAGTGAGGATGGCACAGAGCTAAAAGTACTAGCCTCCCACTGCAGTGGCCCTGATTCAGTTCCCAGAGCTGGCATCATGATTTGGGTTGAGTTTTTTCAGGGTTTCTTAATTGCTCAAAGGATTTTCTCAATACCCTACAGTTTTCTTCCCTCTACTGAAACTAACATTTGACCAGGAAACAGTGGACAAGGAGAGCCACCTTGTGGAATATCCATTGCCAAATTTCCATCATCATTACTACTGTTACCCCTGGTAGGCAATCCAAGCTAATAATTTTTACCAGTAAGTGTTGAACAAAAGTTTCCATAGAATGAAACATAATTATGTAAGGAGAATAAAAAACATTAATATTCAACAACACTTTATGGAGAGGAACTGTAATCTACTTAAGGCAAAAAAGTGAGTACTGGGATAAATTTCTTTGGTGAGCAGAGCTCACAAAAAAAGAAAAAAAAAAAGAGAAGAAAGAACAGTGGTGGACTTCTCTGGAAAACAAGAGGAAGGCAAACATACATGTAATATAACATACCTAGCTTGATTTCAATCTCTTCCATTTTGTAACATTCTACTGATGTATCCTGAACATTTAAACAAAAAAAAGCTGAATTAAGCACCTTAATGCTAGATCTTTTAAAGATGTACAAAGGTTTTGCCCTATTGCAAGTTTGCCCCCTACCACCCATGCAAGTTCACCCACACCTTTGCTAGATTGCCTCCAGATTTTTCAACTTGTTTTCTTACAGCAAAACACATTCTTTTTTAGTTTAGTTTCACTATGCCTGTTAAGGTTTTTCCCTAGAATGCAAAAACATCCCATATTTCTATTGCTCACAGTTTCCTGGTAAAATGACTGAATTATGTGGACCATAGTCTGAAGATGCCTTACCTTTCCACTGATACAAAAATTTCTGTACACAGTTCTGGCTCCATACAAAAATGCATCTCCATCATTGGTTATACACCCATCTACAATCTGTGAGTAAATTAATTATTTATGACATAAATTTTTTTGCTAAGCCAGAAGTTATTGAAAATCAGCCTCTTTAGATCAAACTTATCCAGTGTTAAGAAGATGCGTGTGCTTTGGGATTATGTAGGATAATAATATCATAAGCAAATCACGCGGACCACTTTATTTTTTGATGTGCGATTTTCTTAGAGAGAGTTGAAAGTTTTTTAGTTTATCGAGTAGTGGTTTGTTTTAACGGTAGTTATCGTTTACCGTGAGTCTACAGTTTTCTGTGTTGGAATTAAAGCATCTGTTTAGATTTTCCATTTCGCTTCTGAACATCCAGAATGAATCATATTCAAGCATTATATAAATTACAGTATAATTAGACAATATTTAGGTTTGACACCAAATTAAAGATAAGACGAAGTACAGTCAACTTTCCACTAAAGGACACTCACTTGTAAGGGGAAAGTTCTAATTACAAACACTTTAAATTCTTCTTTTTGCCTCCCACTCAAACCCTGTATTTACACATTCAAGGAAGCAAGCACTCTCTCATAAGATGTGGACACTTAAGAAGTGAGACTTGTATTTTTCTTTTGTTTCTGCTCTCTCGTAAGCCAACACCCCATGCATAGAATTGACCCTTGGTGATAAAAATTTATCTTGAATTTGCAAATTGACAGAAATATGAAGTTTGACAAAGCAACAGGACAGTGGGGATTGGTTTTTCAAAACTCCATTTGTCCTTGGGAAAGCAAGCTGTCCATTCCTTCGACACTAACATGAGTCTGACATAAGACTCTCTTATAAGCAGACATCCGCCCTATTTTTCTTTGGTGAATGCTTGAGGGAATAATTCTCGCAAGGGGACAGTTTGAGCTACTCAAATAATCAAGAGTGTCTGCTTATCAGAGAGCTAGTTGTAAATAATTGATCATTTATCTTATGATTCAGAGGAGATGTTACATTTTAGCTGTAGAGTCAAGTTATCAATGTAGGATCATGAAATTTCAATTACCATGATATTACAGCTTGTCTTTGTGACAAGTTTTCTCCGAGCGCCTTTGCCATTGACTGATGAAGAACACCAAACTAAAAGCAGTTAAATGATTGTAGCTCTCGTTTGAAAGCCTGACACTGTAACTGACAATAACTCTAAGACTGACCACATGCAGTCACCAATTTCTCCTTGCGTCATCACCAAGAACCACACAATAACATCACAAGAATAAAGGATAATTGATCACCAGCTGAAGAGGCTCTTGATTGTTAAACAAGCTCTCAAGGCTGTGCTCTAAGAAAAATTGAACGAAGCCCAGCGCTCTGAAACTGTGAAATCCAGGGTGCCCAGCATAGACTTTGTATGAAAAAACTAAAATTCCTGAGTCGCCCAAGAACAAAAGTAAGGCACCAGGGGCTACTGGGTGCAGCTAGACCACAGCCTTGAGTTCTCCTTGTGAGTATCATGGCAAATGTATAGAGAACAGTAAGGAGAATCTGCACGCTGATCATACTCAGCCAGGGTGTAACGGGTTAAATAAACATTCATTCATCATTGCCATGACGTAGATGAACTAACACATCTTTCACAACAAGAAGTAAAATATTTCCAAACCAACCTGATGTAGATCAAGCCAGGCACAAAGTGCTTCAGCTTCACCCTCACTCTCGAGGCATGGCACCCCTAACAGGCTCAACAGCTTGCGGCACTGAGTCAAAAAATATTTTTATAATTTACTTTTAAAAAATGCCAAGCAGTTGGGAACAATGTTAATTGGACTGAATGCCACAAAAAAAACAAAACAAAACAAAACAAAAACCAAAAAAAACAAAGTTGATGAACAGTTAATTGGCATTTGCTACTTGCCAGCTTTCAAGTATCAAATGTTATCAGGTAAACAGTGTGTTCAGAGTTATAAAAGCTGAAAGTTTCTAAAGAAACTCTGGTGCTACCAATTTAGAATTTCAACTTAGTTGATATAACCAACTTACCTTGTTCACAGTTATATCATGTATCCTAAGCAATTTCTTACACCTGACTTGTAAATTTAAAAACCTACAGGTACACTTCCTTATTCAAAGAGAGAGGGGCAGGGGTCATTGTGTGATATAGTGACCAGTGAATATACCACCTTAAAACCCCATGAACTAAGAATTGTTAGCTTTTGCTATATGTGAACCTCATGGTTCTCTATATGATTTTTCATGATGCCTTCTTTCTATTTTTAGTGTCTGTGAAACATGCACAAGACCCCTC